TTTATACCTGTGATAAATTCAAGATAGATTGATTGATTGACTGTCTTGTGGTGGATATTTGACAAATTCAGAAACAAATAACTTAGAATCATAGAATCATAGAATAGTTAGGGCTGGAAAGGACCTTAAGATCACCAAGTTCCAACCCCCCTGCCATGGGCAGGGACACCTCACACTAAACCATATTACCCAAGGCCTCGCCCAACCTGGCCTTGAGCACTGCCAGGGATGGAGCATTCACAACCTATTCTAGTGCCTCACCACCCTAACAGGAAAGAATTTCCTCCTTATATCCAATCTAAACTTCCTCTGTTGAAGTTTTAACCCATTACCCCTTGTCCTGTCACTACACTCCCTAATGAAGAGTCCATCCCCAGCATCCCTATATGCCCCCTTCAGATACTGGAAGGCTGCTATGAAGTCTCCACGCAGCTTTCTCTTCTCTGTTGAACAGCCCCAACTTTCTCAGCCGATCTTCATATAGGAGGTGCTCCAGTCCCCTGATCATTCTCATTGCCTTCCTTTGGACTTGTTCCAACAGATCCATGTCCTTTTTATGTTGAGGACACCAGAACTGTATACAGTACTCCAAGTGAGGTCTCACGAGAGCAGAGTAGAGGGGCAGGATCATCTCCTTCGACCTGCTGGTCACGCTCCTTTTGATGCAGCCCAGGATATGGTTGGCTTTCTGGGCTGCAAGCGCACGCTGCCGGCTCATGTTCATTTTCTCATCGACCAGCACCCCCGAACTTGTGCTTCTCTAATAATAAAAATTCAGTCTTTAAATACTGACATTCCAGTAAAATACAATGTTGAAATAATTTTACTAAGACATTAGAAGTTGCATATTGTTTATATTCTAGTTATAAAAGCCTCCAGAATACTTAAGCAAGAGAGGGAGAAAACCAATCTTCTACGCTACTTCTTAGTATTTAAATTTAATAAATGAGCTGTAAAAAGTTTCTGTATTTTCAGGATGTCATTGAATTAACAAAATGTACAATATACTTTGCTTACAATGAAAAGACTTTGTCCACTTATTGTCATACATCTTGTGGAGACTTTTATTCATTCTAAGTAATGTAAGGGTAGTACTACTAAATGACACGTGCACTGTTATTAATTTAATTAGTAATTGCATAGTTTGAAAGGTCGATTTTGATTAAAAAGAAAAAAAACCCCAACAAACAACACAGAATGTTGACGTCTTTCAGAATGCCAGCTATCCAGTTCTCCAAAGCAGTCTGCAGGGAAACAGGATGCTGATTTACTTCCTTTCTTGGAAGATTTTAGAAAGCCTTCTTTAACTTTCTTCAACACTTCTTGGGGAAAAAAAAAAATCTTACTGTATTTTCCCTTCAAATAATGACGGTTTTGTGTTTTTTGTAGAGAATGTGGTTGCTGCAACTGATGCTGGTGTTCCTTTGTTGCCTACTTCAAAGCAGGAACTTGATGCAACTGAGGAATTTGGACCAAAGTTGCCTCCGGCTTTTTTTTCTGGTAGGTCCTGTAGATTTCTAACGTTTAAATTCTGCACATCAAAATTGTATGCAAAATATTCAGTATTCCTCTTTAAAAACCATTTGCGAATAGGCATTTTATCTCTTAAATTGCATCAGCAAATGCTTTGTTAACATGCTGTGGTCCACTAGTAGGAACCTTTTTGCCTATGCACCTCTTTGCCGTAGCTCTATAGAGGCAATGATAAAAGAATGTAGGGAAAATACAAGACTAGCATTATGGTTTCTTTTAATAACAGATTGCAAGGTCATTTAATTACAATAGGGAGGTTGCAGTTAGGAGTTTTAGACATTTAAGTTCTGTTTGAAAGCTTAGTTGTGGGTTGGTTTGTTTTTTCTTTTTTTTTTTAACCTATCCTATTACTTTAAAAGTAAAATAGAATTTAATAATAAAATTATCTTGGTTTTGGTCATGGGATTTATTTGTTTTTGTTTTTGTTTTGTTTTTTTCCTGCATTGGCTTTGCTATTTAGGCTGTACTTGGCAACAGGAGCTAGAGGTGCCACCAAGTTTTCCTGGGCCTAGTAAAAGAGAAAAACAGAGGAAGAACAGACAGAAACAAAAGACTAAGCGAGAACACAAACACAAAAAGGAAAAGGTATTTAATTTAAATATAAGCTGTCTATTGATTCTTCGATTTGCCAGTCAATTTTTTTTAATTATTTGTATTGTTATCCAGGTTTACTGAGGCCAAATATGAAGATGGTATTTTAGAAAATAGATATACTGGCACTAGAACTTGAGTAACTGAGTTTCTCGGGTGTCTTGAAACCTGAACTTCAGAACAGAATATTATCCAGCCTTGTGAGCTGCTTTTTTCCATACACACAGTGGGAATACAGATCTAATATTGTCAATTGTTTAATGTTACATGATGAGGATATTGGGCATATTCTGGGAACTGCATATAATTCATGGCTTGTTTACAAATAATAGTAATGAATTTTGTATTTGTGGGTGTGTGTGAGGGCTTGGGATAAAATGAGTAATTTTGGTGTATTGTATGTACGTATTTTTTTTTTTTTTTTTTAGCTCAGTCTGAGTAGTGGAAAAGAGTCACTCTTGAGTGTGCTGTTTCAGCTAAGCTTGGAGTCTACACTGTAATCAACCTTTTGCTGTTGTTGCCTTTCAGAAAAACCCAAGTCTTTCACAGTGAAATGAGGGATTATTTTTCTTTTTACAGAAAAAGAAACATAAGAAACAGAAAAACAAAGGAAAACACAAGAATAAAGAATCAGAAGAAGAGAGCAGCTCAGACACTGCAGATAGCAGTGAGAGTGATACAGATACCACAGGCTTGGCAGCTAAGGAACTTCTAAGAAGGTAAACAGAAAATTTACTTAAAGACTTCAAAATTTTGCAGTAAATAAGCAAAAGTGTCATGCTAGTGAACCTATTTGCAGCAAATACAGATCAGCCAGTCTCTTGATGATGATAAAATACTGCTCATTTTTTTAATGAAGTGAAAAAGATTACAAGTATTAGGCAAATTAATCTAGAGGGTGTTTCATTTTAGGGTAGAAGCTTTGCAAGGTAAAGGGCACTAAATACACAACTCTGCTAGTTATTGGAGGTTAAAGAAAATATATTTTGAGAAGGTATTTTGGATGGGAATCTCTTTACTTGTAAACATTGGAAGCAACACTGTCTTGTTAATAACCTTTTGGACCTGCTTTGATTTGTTGATAATTAGCAGAAGATCTGATTCAAATAGATACTTTGTGTGGCATTGATTAAGATAGCTCTGTGCTTGAGCAAGGACCAGTGAAGGAAGCAGAACAGTGCTCAAGTCCTGTATGTGTCTGCTAAATTTAGACTGCTTGCATTTTTATAAAGTAGAGACTTGAACATAGTGCCAACAGAAATGTGAAGATCATGAAAAGAACGATTCACATTTCATTTTGCTCACACACTTGAAATAAAGTACAAACTAAAGTAACTTGTCTGTAGTTCAGATCATAGTCAACTTTAAGTGTATCCAATGTGGAACATTCACTGTGCTGGCTTTTGTTTGATGTTTGCTACTAGCCAAAGGAGAATTCTCAAGGTACTTGTTGAAATACCACATGCAGCTGGCCTAATGGCAAAATGATTGGGGTCTTAGGTGATCAGCGAATGGACACATGCCAGTGGAATTGATAGCATTTGAAATGACTCTACCTTCCAGTCCTTTGGAACTGAGCTTCAGTTAAAAAAAAAAAAACAAAAAAAACAAACACCCAAGTAACCTAGCTACTTCTCCTTTGGTTTCTAAATAGCTAAAAATACGGTTTTATGCATTTTGCACAAAATAGACTTCTTCATACAAGCAGCTATTTTGGAAGTCTTCGCATTTGCATGTGTCTCTTCAGTGAGAAAATGTTTTTATCCTGCTAAGTCAGATCTGTCAAACCAAGGATTAAGAAACTGTTCAAGTAATTAAATGGTTTTAATGTTGGATTTTATATATCAGCCTGACCTCTTTCTTTTTTTTTTCCTCCCTTTTAGATTAAAACAACTTCAGCACTGAAGAGGGGCCTTGCTTTCTTTGGTTCTGTGTGACTTGATATCAAATTTTTGATCTCCTCCATGATGGTAGATCAATTGTACACTTTGAAGCACAGCAGAACTGTATTCATACTGAATTTGTGTGAAAGCAGATATGTGTATGTTAATATTGTGGTGCTTCACATGTTTAAAATATATGGATTACAGAATGCTGAAAAGACCCCTTCCTGGCCAGCATAATCTGAAGTGCTGCAGGTTTGATTTTAATTAATATGAAGCAGTGTATTCTAATGAATATAAGTATTACAAATAGTTTACGCAGGTCATTGCCTAGGACCTCTAAAATGGTGGGGATAAGTTTTAGCCTGAGTTACGTTAGAAAGTTGATTACTAAAGCCATGTAAATTTTGCATTGGGTGCAAATATTTTTAATGAGACTAATGGAGAATTTTGCATTGCAGCTCTCATTTCACAACTCTCTAAGTGGCTATACTTAAAGAGTTATTTTTACGTCTTCAAAATGTATACAGCATTTACCATAGCAGATCTAAACTAATGAATTGTCATTTTGACACAGATTAAGGCTAATGTACTAGCAGATTAGTGCTATAATCTGCTTTATTTTATGTAGTTACAATGAAAACAGTTTATGCTGTTGTTTGTTTCATGCAATATGCAATTGTCATCTTGTAAAATTATTGTAATGTAAACTATGAAATAATACTGCATTGTATTTTTAATGCTGAGGTTGCAAAAATATACCCATTGAACTCTTCCAGGTGTGTGTGGAAACCAAAACAATATTCTTGCTTAAAACTGTGAACAAAAGCCATAAGTGAAATTCACTGTCGTTGATGGCAGTTCCCTGGGCCATGATTCAATCTGTTTTCAGTATCCACAGCTCTTGAGGAGGGTGAACTAGTAAGAGTTGTCTCATGTTGACGCATGGATTGTGGGATTTGTGAATGTAAAAGCAGCAAGAAAACTTGAGTTATGGAAAGAGAAATAAAAAATTGGACCTTGAGGTTGTCTCCGTTACAGCAAAAACCAAGCCAAACCAGCCGAAGAACAGGACATACTATAGCTACTGCTCCAGAGGCCTTCTGGCGGGAGCAGCAGGGGGTATAGAGCCCTTGTCCGCTGGGAGCGCTGCGGCCAGGCCCTCCGCGCCGCCTTGCCGCCGCCTGAGAGCGCGTGGGGTGCTATGGCGGCGGAGAGCCCCTGGGGCCACCGCCGGAGCCTTCTCCGACAAAGACCCCTGAAGGTCTTTGGGATAACCATGAGCTGGCAGCGCAGGTAATCCGGAAGGGCAGGAAGGGCTGGATCCTGGGAGCTGAGGTTGGAAAGGTGTTGCTTTGTGTGGTTAACTCACGGCAGATTTTTGTTTGCTGTGTTAGTTCTGTTAGCACACAAGCGTGTGCTTTACAGTCATTAGTGAAGTCCCAAATGTCTGAAGAAACGCCTTGTCAAGATTTGTAATGGTCTTGGCTGAAATGGTGTGGCCTAAGAGCTTAAGATGTGCTGTCCTCAGTTTAAGAGCTTCATGTGCTGGCCTTCTCTGGGCCAGATTAGAGGAAACCAGTGTTTGGAAGACTCAAGAGACTTAATGAGATTTAAAGATAAATATTACTTTTCATGATAAGAAGAAGAATTGGGAAAACAAGCCAAACCTCTTTCCAGAAAAATAAAACCAAAACTCAAATCCATAGACTTTTCTTCCTCAACCAGATTTGGTAAATGCGCACCAGATACCCAGGAGAGGATGTGAACCTTCCCCTGACAAATGGAACTTGAAATACTCTTTTCCTGTTCTTGCTTTTGTGCTCTCCCTTGTGAACTAAGCTGTCAAAAATTATTGAAAGGGAAAATACTTATTTATTTTACAGATCCAGTTCAGTGTTCTGAGAGGACCCAGTGACACTGTGGGCTCCTATCACTTTTGCTATGGAGACACAAAAATACTGTCATGCTCTTATGATAAAACAGTGAAGCTTTGGGTATGTTGTGAATACAACAACAAATTAAAAAAAAACCTTAAAGCTGAAATTAAATGAGGAATGTTACACAGGCAGAAAGATTGACTGAATCATCAAGGAGCTGTCTGAAGATAATTTGAGTTTAAAAATAGCAGCTGTAAATGTGTTTGCAGTTACAGACAAATACTAAAACTCCTGTTTTAAGCTTTGAACAGTCTTTAAAAGGTGACTCTTGTTAAGCATATGTGGAATATACTGAATTGGAGCTCTGGTTTATTAATACTTGAAAACTGTAAGTTGGTATGCAAAGCTTTTGTCAGAAAATTCCTTTTTCCTATGTGTTATGTGTGTGGCTGTTTGTGGAGAAGTAGACTTAAGGGATCAAACACTTGTTATCAGCGTTACTGCAGTGTTTTCATACTTGTTGCTTGCTTTTTATTTAAATTTTGGTTGACACCTTTTATTTTCTTGTTCCTTCAAGTTTTGTGTAGTTAGTTGGGGTTTCCCTACAATTCCAGCCACCCTGACAAGGCAAAAGTGAGATCTGAACTGGGGAAGCGTCCAGGTTCCGAGTGTTGAATCTAAATTTAGTCTAGAAGCAGGCTTGGAGACATTGTTATGTGAGCCCTTGAATTCTCTGCAAAAAAGCTGACAATGTAGTCATGCTAAATAGCTTGTAGACATTTAACCTGGTGTATAGTAAACAGTCGTAAGGATTGATAATGAGTTATAGGAGTACTTTAATATGATGTCAATACAGATGAACTAATTTTATAACACATCTGAAGTGTTGACTTCTTACCAATGCCATTCTAGGTTTCTACCATAATCTATACCTTTTCTTCAGACATACTGAAAAAGCCCAGGAACTCCAAAAGTGTAGAAAGTCCAGGCAGCTTGTCCAGCCCATGATGTTATCCAGGGGCTATGGATGGCTCAATCTAAGAAATGAGGAAGTCTAGAATAAGAAAATACACATGTGGAGACTTTAAGCAAATACTGTAGATAGGAAAACTACAGATAAGTTATCTCAGTGTGTTAGTCATGACATTTATGGTTTAATAACAACTGTCATGTTGACAGTTTCAAACTTGCTCCTTGTCTGAATTCAGAAAAGGAACTTGTATTTGTCTGTGTTGAGTGGGATGGTGTTCAGCTGTCTTACATGTAAGTGAAATCGAGACCCAAAAATAAGAAAATAATCCTTTTTTTTTTTATTTATTTTTTAAGCATGGTAAGTCCATGAAGTTTTTGCTGGAAAGGCTATAATGTGCCAGTTGCCTGAAGTGGGCTAATCTGTCTAAGAAATTTGATTCTTACATTTTTATCTAAGAAAGGCTTGCTCAATATTTCTTGAGCAATACTTATTTTTCAGAATCTGTGTGAGAGTATTTGCCTGAGTATTGGGAATTTTCTGACAGCCGTGTGTAGGCAGGGTTGTGTTCATTTATTTTGGTAAGATTAATTTTGTCTGCACAAGCCTAACTTCCTCTTCTGCATGAACAGCTGTAACAATTAGAATTCAGGAGAACACAGAGGACTTGGTCACAGGGGGTTAGGCCAGCCCTGATATATTTCATGTTAGGGTTTTCTTTCCCTTTGAAATAAGATACCAAATGATTGAGTGCACTGAGAAAGCCTGTGAAGTACCTCTTCAGAGCTGACAGTATTTCACTGACAGTCCAGCCATCTTTTGGAAAACAAAGATTAGTAGGGCGCACAGCAGACAAAAGACTAGGTGAGTCTAGAAGGGCACTTGTGACTTCAAGGCTTTTTTGACTTGGAAATATAGAACAACGTACAGTAACTGATGGTTTGTTTTGTTTTGTTTTCCCCTTCAGTCTTAGAGACATTACTAACGATTCCAGTTGTGTCTGATTAGGTCTGTAGTGCATTGACACACATTCAGAAAGTAAGTGGAAAAAGTGAAAATAAATTTACTTCAGTTTTGCCTGTTACAAAGAGGCGCCAAGTGAGTGGGATAACGAGAGTCCTTGTAAGGAAGCAGCTCTGAACACGAGACTTGATGGTAAAAAGGGGACTAGGGGTCAGATGTGCAAGATTTTATTCTCATATTGAATACAAAAGAAAAAGCGCAATGCACAGTGAAGGGTGCCTGCTTCTTGATTTGGAAAACTTAATGCTTAACGCAAACAAAAATCTAATTGAGTTAATTGGATTAATTATGGAAATGGAAAATTATCTGCCTAGATGAAGGTATGGTGACTGATCCTGTGACACTTTGAACTGTGAGTTGCTTTGCATGGCAGCTCTCCTCCTCTGTGTGTGTCTGTGTTTGGGGTTTTGTTTGGGTTTGTTTTATTTTGATGTTTACAGTCAGGCACCATGATCCATTTGTAAAATTTGATACATTATTTTAGTTCTATTACTAAAGAACTTCAGGGCTTTACTCCTGTGTTAGGACTGCACTATGTTTTGAACATTATACATGTATGACAAAAAGGTGGTACCTTCCTGAAATCACTTAAAACACTGTGTAACAGACTAAGTAGGTAGAAGATGATGGAAAACGATAATGGCCTTAAGTTGCAGCAGGGGAGGTTTAGGTTGGGTATTAGCAGCAATTCCTTCACTGTCAGGCGTTGGAACAGGCTGCCCAGGGAAGTGGTGGAGTTGCCATCCCTACAGGTTTTTAAAAGACTTGTAGATAACGCCAGTTAGGAACGTGGTTTAGTGGTGGACTTGGCAGTGGTGGGTTGAACTTGATGATCTTAAAGGTTTTTTTTCCAACCTAAATTTATGAAGAAACACTTGTCAGGATTTAGTTATGGACTTGGATATGGGAGTCTAAGGAGGCCAATTTTCAAGAAATTTCTGGTGGAGACTAATGTAAAGTGCGGGAGATAAATAGAAGCCTGCTAGACGAAGAATGCTGTTTCAGTCAGTCTTGAAATAAAAAGAAGGAATACAGTGTAGGACTGTGAGAGGAACTAAAGTAAAACTAAGTTTACTGGTTTCACGAGTTCTGTTTTCCCATAGTTTGTGATGCTTTGTATTTTTTTACAATTTAGCAAAGCAATTCCTAATTAAACTAGTTAGGATTTTTTTCAAGGATGTTGAGAAAGGTTTTCCTATTCACATTTTTGAAGAACACACTGCCCCAGTTTCTGAGTGCAGCTTGACTCCTGATGACAGAAGGTGACTGTTTTCTGTCTTAATTTATTAAAAAGACCAAGATCCACCTTGTTTTCATGATGTCAAGGTTCAATTTCAGTGCATCTGGAAACATCTAGTACAAAATTTAGAACAAATAATTTACTTTTTCATTCCTTCCTATGATTTTCTAACTTGTATGACATCAAACTTCTTTAGCTGAATTCGGTGCTTCATAAGTCATTCTGTTAAAATTTTACATCTCTGTTCCTCCATCTACTCCTCCTACTTGTCTGCATCCTTGCACTGTCATTTATGCTGTCCATACTCTGTTTACTGCCAGACTCCTTTATCCACATGAACTAGCATAAATTTCACCTTGCTCTCACAGTTTGTACAGGAGCTCTTAAAATTTGTCCATTTTCTGTACAATGTCTGCTGAATTAAACAATCTTTATTGCTGAAATGCATGTTGGAATAGTCTAATAGGTATAGAGAGGCTAGCCTGATAGATTATGGCCTCTTTTAGGCTAAAGGACTCATTTAATTCTGTTTCTGAGTTATATGGGCTGTCAGTCTATTTTTGCCATATGTTCTGAAAGGAGTATATAAGTACATAACACTGGTATAAAAGAACAATATTGAATTAGCCAAGATTGAGGGGTTCATCTGTCAGTGAGATTTATATCTTCATAAAAATTCTCTTCTGTCTGTATCATTTATTAATATTCTATAGCCTTTCCATTAAGCCTGTCTTGTCAATTAAAGAAGAAATGCCTCTTAATCCAGTGTCAGTCTGTGGCTCTAATAATTAAAACAACTGCAGCATATATTAACGTTCTGTTAAGTAGGTCATGCAGTGCCTCCAGGGGTTCTGTTTCTGGTGTATTTTATCATTAAGTCATAGTTTAAACCAGTTTTTATTAGATTTTAGAGTTGACCAATTAGTTTTTTGGTTATTGAAAAGTACACGTGGCTATACTGCCTACTGTGATTGTGAAACAGCAAGTAAAATACCACTGCACGCAGCCCTGGAAACCACTCTCAAAAATGCCACCGATTCACAAGCTTCTCATGGTCTTTTGCAGTACATGCTTCTGCCTAGTAGCAGAGATTGTGTTGCTTGCAGGAAGTAGGGGGAAATATGCAGGAAGTATGGGTTGCAGGAATATTATGGAGAAAATAAACATTTTAATAATTGTATTTTTAGTTTTTAGAATGTTAATGCATAAAGGTTCTTGGGCATATGTATAAAAGTGACAATGTGGCCTTTTATTTTTTTTAAAGTTTAACAGTAGTAAAAACATTTGTCACAAGGTGACTTTCAGTATTACTGTATTCAGTATTTGGGATTATCTAATGAAACTCCGCAAGTGACAAATTTTTGACCTCACATTTAACGGAAACCCTGCCAGTTTTAGTAAACTCATATTGACTAGCTTTGTTGTCTAATGTGGCTTTGTGTATATGCAGAGCAGTGTTTGTGGTAGAGGGTTACCCAGCAACAAAACCACTGCAAATCCCAAAAAACCCTACTGACAAGAACACTTCACATTCATTAAAGACATTGTAATGGCTTTAAAATTATTCTGACGTTAGATGTAATTAAATACCTTGTAACGGATGGAATGAAATTGAGATGACTGCTTGCACTGAAAATTACGCATATGACATTTTTATTATTAATTTCTATCTCAGTTAAACTGTGCAATAATTTTTGCTGTGGCCTTTAAAAACCTATTTTAAATTAGTTGGTGTGGGGATGTCGAATTATTGTCAAAATTAAAAGTGGTTGGTTATTTTTTAATATAACATTCTTTTAAGTGAAAACATTGCTGTTTTCATTAACATCATTTTTAGAATGGTAACGTTGTCATATAATAACACTGCCAAGGCTTGTGATATGGAAACAGGAAAAATGCCTGTATGTATCCTTTTGAATGCATCTTGCAGAAGGTACAACTGTAAAATTCAGGTTTATTGCTTTGTTACTGATAAATAACAATAGGCTATAGGAATAGGTTGTCCAGGGAGGTTGTGAATGCTTCATCCCTGGCAGTGTTCAAGGCTAGGTTGGACGAGGCCTTGGGTAATATGGTTTAGAGCGAGGTGTCCCTGCCCATGGCAGGGGGGTTGGAACTTGATGATCTTAAGGTCCTTTCCAACCCTAACTATTCTATGATTCTATTCTATGATTCTATTATTCTAAATAAGAAAACACAACATTCTTCATTAGCACAATACAATACAGTTAGGGTAGATAGGTTTCACTTCTAGTCCTACTTTTCGTCCTGTTAATTGCTTGATCTTGGGCAAATCTCTTGATGAAGATGTCTCAGTTATATAAGGGTATGATAATAATAACCTGTCTCAGAAGATACATTTAAGATTAAATTAACATTTGGGGATTTGAACAGGGTGGCCTTGTCTAATTTTATGGTTATTGCTAATGCAAACATAGAAAGATTGTCTATAAAGACATCTATCGGCTTTTACCGACACAAAGTAATATCAAAAGCCTTCTTTCTGAAGCTGCTTCTATATTATATCAAGTCTGCTGTAAGACTCTTAACTGTCAAACATGTTTCTAAAACCTTTTATTTTCTTTTATTTTCTCTTCAGTGGACAGCGGAACATGACGGCATTGTGACTTCATGTAATATTTCTTATGATGGTAGATACTGGTATCTGACAGAGAAATTGCCATACAAAAAGGGAAAAGAAACTTCCCTGTAAGATATTAAACCCAGTATTTTTTTAGCTCAGGCTTATAAAAATGAGATAATGGGCCAGAATGTGACCAACACTGATTCTTTTTTTCATCAATAATTTTGCTAGTGAGGCGTCAGTCCCATGAAGCTTCTACTCAGGACTGCAGGTCAGGGAGTTTGCCGTTCCTGCAGAATCAGCTTCAGAATATATGAGCAGTCTCACACATGTTAAATTAGCACATTGTTAACATGCTCCTGTCAGTCAGAGCCTGATGGTAAAAATCATCTGTATTTAAAAAGTACAACTAATAAATTACTGGTATTAGGACTGCTTCTGTTGGGTGACACTATCAGGGCATACTTTGTTTACATTACTTTAAGAGGACTATTTGCTATCTCAAAGTATTATTAGCTAAGTGTTCTAAGAGTCTGTTGGCATTATCATTGGCATTAGGGCCACACTTCCAGACTTAATTTCAGGAATGGAGCAGAGATTTTACTATGGGGCAGCATGTGAATTTACACTATATGTGTATGTGTGTGCCTGGGTACAGGTTCATATTTTGTCATATCTGCAGTTACTGTGAGGCCTATCTTTCATTGTTAGATAGGAGAGGTGGTGTCCTGGCCAATGTAACAGCAATTTTGAAATTAGAGTGTTTGTGTTTGGAGATCCAAATGTAATTATTCAAAATAACTAATAGTTTCACTTGATGCATTTTGTATAGGTCATCACAAAAGTACAATCACAAGCTGTTGTTTTGATCCTGATAACCAGAGGGTGACTTCAGTATCCTACAATAAGACCATAAAACTATGGGATATGATAACATGGTCCACTTCAATTACAATTAACGAGTAAGAAACAATACTACACTTCATTATCCATGGTGTTATTTGCAGCTTTCACAATTATCAGTGAGATTTATTCTAAGATTAATACTGGAGAAAATGAACAATAATTCTTGAACTAAATAAAGTAGTACACAAGCAAATGACATATATAGAAAGTGTGACTAAAATAGTCCATTCAAGTTTCCTGCTGTAAATAACTGAAAAATTGTATTTTGATGGCTGTAAGCATTTCTAGTGCTTTTTTCTTTTTTTTAGACCTCCTGTGTTCTTCGATATATATAGAGGTAAAAGATAGCGTATGCAATATGGTACTGCAGTGTAAACTTCTCATTCTGTTTTCTACTAATCAGGAAAAATGCATAATTGAGGAATGAGGAGATAAAATGTTACTTAGAATAGAGAAACTGTAAAAAAACATAGTAGCGTGAAGCAAAAATAACGCAGATGAAAAGGACAAAATACACCTAGATGTTAGGAATCAAAAACTAATCATGAGTTCTTACAGAACATGTTGTGGTAATTAGGTTTTGCACTGCAACCAGATCACCTTAGCCCTACATAAAATTCATGGGCCTCAGAGCAACCATAGAATGATCAACTCAGCTCCTAATGAGCTCTGTTTAAGACCTGACAGACTTTAAAACAATCTGTTCCATTGTTTCACTGCATTAATCTTTAAACAGGATTTCCTAAGGTGGACTATTTTGGCTGCAGCTTGAGCTAGTATGTTTCTGTTCAGATCCACTTCAAACATGGAGATCAAATTATTCTCTTCTTTTCTTCTACATTTTCATATGTGTCCAAGAACTTTTATTATAGCTACTGGAGTAATCTTTTTAGTAGATTAAACCATCCTTATTCATTTAATATATAATTATTATTTCCTGTTTTACTTATCATTCTTGTTGATCTCTGAAATCTTTCCAACTGGCCCACATTTTCTTGAATTATATGGCCCCATAATGTATTCCCTCTACCTGGAAAAAATATGAAATTAATCATTATTACATGCTTCTCTGTGGCTGTGCCTCTTCATACAAAGAGATTTACTCTTTGTTTGACAGCGTGATAGCAAAGAGGAGTCACTATTTGTTACATACTTCTTAAAGAACTGCAGTGTAGTCTGTTGTTTCAACTCCTTATCTGGGCAGGTGATTATTTGTCAGACTTGACAAAATCAAATCCAATATATCAGATTATTGATCAAACTTTGTAAGATTCTTACAAACTATAGTGATGACAACATTTTTTCCCATAGAGATGGTTATAAACCTTTTATTTTCTTGAGAATTTATTCAATTTGTGAAGATAATTATAAATTTTTAATTTTAACCTTCTCCCTTGTAAAACTGCAGACCCTCTTTGGCTTCATACCTGTACTTTTTTATCTGATTATCTACATTGTTAATGGAAGGGTGAAACAGGACAGGTTTCAGGACCACAGTGCAGTCTGTACTTTCATTTTCACACTGAACAAATTACAACCACTCTCTTGAGAAAAGAGATGGTTTTTCGGGATCATTTTTCCCTATATGCTTTTGGAGAAGGTCATGCCCAGTGCCAGCAGCATTGCTCAGTGTGATCTCCTGAGCCTTCACTTGTCTACTTCGCACATTTCTCACTGAAGTCAGTAAGGACATTATTTAGGATTTTATTATCGTTTTAAGAAGGAAGTATGCAAAAATAGGGATGTCAAATCAACTGTTAAAAGTATCAATGGCCTTAAATAAACTCAATTAATTTAACTTTAAATTCTTAAAACAATAACCAGAGAGAGAGAGGCTGCCTTTAAACATGGTAATAAAATTGTCTTTGAGGAATTAGGAATTACTTTGGATGGGAAATTCAATCTGGAACATTGTAATGTTTCTTTTAAATTGCACTGACTACAGCATTGTTTCCTGTAAGAGATGCTCATAATCCTTTCCCCACTGTAGATTTCAGGAAGCACTGGAGACCCCACCCAGTTCTGGAACATGCACATTTGTTTTCCGAAGCGTATTGCTGCTTCCAAAATTAGACTTGAATCTAGAATTGTTTAATCTTTTTCCTATGAATGTTTGAGTTGAATTTTAAATGTAGAAATAAATGCATGCTATTTACTTCACGAAAAATGGATGGCTTTTTTTTTTGTAATTTAATAAGACGTGTTGTAGCTGCTGAACAATTTCTTGTTAAACTGTGTTCAACATTTAACAGCTGGGCTTCAATCCTGCAAAATGACCTAATCCCATAAGAGATTTAAAAGCCTGTGCTGGCTGTGAGTTTGTAAGCAGCTCCAGAGACTCATATAGTTAAAATTCAGAATATACTTAAGATGCTTTACTTGATGGACAGGGTGGAAGATGTTGCAGGAGGTGTTCTCAGAGATTTGTAATGGTCACCAAATCTCATTCTTCCTGTAGTTTTCATCTGTATTTCAGGAGACACAGCAATGCTATCTCAGATCGCTGCTTTAACTCTGATGGTCATTACTTGTGCACAGCATCCTGGGACAAAAGCTTAAAAATACGGGATATAAAGAGAGGAGAATTTCAGTGTCATGAACCTGTTTTCTTGAATGAAGGACATGAGGGTTCTTTTAGTTCCTGCGTTTTTAGCCAAGATGGTGAGTTATCTTTCTGTTAGTGCACAATATATGTTCGTAACTATGTATAGAACATCTCAGATATACCACGAATGACCACTCTGTAATCATGTAGGTAATTAATTCATCATTTCCAATGATAACATGTTTGACTGTGAGAAAAAGGATGTCCAGGTGTCCTGAATTTGGCTGGGGTAGAGCTCATTTTCTTCCTAGTAGTTGGTGCAGTGCTGTATTTTGGCTTTAGTCGGAGAATGATGTTGATAACACACCAATGTTTTAGTCGTTGCTCAGTGATGCTTACCCTAATCAAGAGCTTTTCAGTTTCTTATGCTCTGCCACTGAGGGAGCACAGCCAGGGCAGCTGACCTGAACTGGCCAGAAGGATATTCTGTACCACAGAGCATCATGCTCAGTATAGAAACTGAGGAGCTGGCTGGGGACAAGGCTCGCTGGGGATGGGCTAGGCATGAGTCCGTGGGTTAAAACAGCTGCTCTTCTGGGATGGATTAATACAAATTTCTGTAGATCGTGGTCTAATTGGCTGTTTCTTTTGCAACTTCACATCTCAGTATTCCAGTGAAGTGACTCCTGAACCGGTGGCAGGAGGTGAATCTGCAGTCATAGGAAACCAATGCCTTCTGTGTTAGGCAGCCAAACTAAATACACAGCAACTCGGGGGGGGGCCCCCCCCACCGGACCTGTGTCTTGAAGACATGCAAATGCAGATAGGCCTGTGACTATTGAATCTGAAAGCATGCTTTCCACACTGACCTCTACTTTTTTATTAACAGTTGTACAATTTTGAAAGTATTCTCTTTACTTTCTTGTAAAAAAAAAACTTGTCTGTTTTTTTTTCCACTCTGTTGTGTGCTTGCTAAATTTATGTGTTAATATTTACAAAATTAAGAACATCAACAAGTAGCTGAAAGGAACTTGTATCTTGTTAAGCCATGGCTCATTATTTATTTTCTTTTATAAAGTCTGACTCAGTTTTAGAAGGAGCCTCTTTTATTAGTCTGCATGACAAAGCAAAGATAAAACACAGTATTCTGATTTTACATTTCAGCATCCCTTGTAGTGTCTGGTGGATATGACAAAGCTGTAGCTATATGGGATACAGATGCAGGCTATAAAAAGCTAAGCTTAAAGGTACCGAGCTCTTATTTGGTAAGTAGTTTGATGAGAAGGTATAAGACGTATTGCTGTTTTCAAAAGTGTGTATTTCATTAGCGGACAAATACCCTTGCCTGTCCTTTTTAGATACAGGCAGGAATATATCCTGGATTTGTGTGATTTAATTTCCTAGAACAGTACATTCCTGTACAATTAGCTACAAAGTTATTACCTTTGTCAAGTCAGTTGTTAACAAGCTCTTAAAACTCTCTTTTTGTGAACAAGCTCATGTAAGGATTGTGCTGAATGGACTTGTACCTATGTTTTAGGAGAGACTTTCTTCCAGCAAGTAACAAGAGCCTGAATAGTGCATATATTCATTTTGAAATGTCACACTGTTGCATATCTGTGTGTTTACATGCTTATTTATGTCCACTGAAATCAGTACATTAAAAGGGAAGCATTCAGAAGAAATGCATATGTCTGTGTTGAGCTTAGCTAGGTTGCATAATTTATGTTACTGCTTATAGTGATGGGATGTGGTCCAACATCTTACAGTTTTTAGGAGGGACAAGTCTGTAAATGAGGTAGCCATTTAGTATTTAGCTATCCTTAGAGCTAGGCCTTCTCTTTTCTTCCATATCCATGGTATGGAAGCCAAAATTTGAGGCAGAAAGTAATACCTGCATAAAATAAACTAAAAAAAAATCCAACTCTCATTATGTTTCCTTTGTACGATCATAACTTTACTTTTTTTTGCAAACATACTATACTGTATTACAGTATCTTCCTTTCATTTATTTTAGTGGAAATAATCCACTAATCAGACATGTGGATCAAAGAAAAGGATTAACAGTACTCATAAAGTTAGGTGCATGCATTTTGCAAATACTAGTTTCAGAAAATTCATGCGATGTCAGAGTTCAAATTTTTGCAACCTTGGGTCTTTCCTGTCTTATGATTTAGTGGACTTTGTTTTTTTTTTTATTTACTGCATATGCTGTTCAAGATGTAGTTAAAACACCCATGAACAAACCTACCTGGAAGATCTCAGAAAAGACCACTTTTATTCTAAACCTTGGGCTTAAAAAGTAGCTTTCAACTGCTGTCACATTCAAAATAACATCATATAGGAGAGCTTGTAAGCCTGTGCCTTAACACTTGTTGCCTGAAAGGTAAGCTTACCTACCCTCTGGAAATGGAACTGTGCTAATTAAACGTTTTGAGCAGTAACAGTACACCAGTATTGGTGCTTTATACAGCACAAGTACTGCAAATTTCCCAGTTCACAGCTATCACAGTAACTAACTTGGCTTCCCATAAAAAAGAAGGCATCTGTGTAAAATGCTAGTATCTTTGTAACTATGGAGAATTCCAGTTTAGCATCCATGCCTTGATAGAATTATATTCTGGGCTCATAATTGAATTTAAAAGCATGTTTTAAAGATCCTGCTATGAAAATCATGCTCAATGTGCACGTTTGAGTGCTGTGTGCTCGAAAAGTGTATGTTCATTTTGCATTGTATTTCTCAGGTGTGGCATTTGTCTATCAAAATGATAACCATGTCTTCCTAAACTCTAGGAATTTTATCTGTTAATACCATTCATGTTTGAATAATCTCCCTAGCTGGTAAAAAATTTGTTTAGAGTTTAACCTGTTTCTATTCTTAGCTGCCTCAATGCTGTTAACCTCAAGTCAGTTGTGCTGCTGTTAATGTGAACAAGGATATCTTACACAGCTGCTTGACTTGGCCTGCTTTTGGAACAGGTTTCCTTCCCTTAAAATGGGGGGGAAGCTGCTGTCTGTTCCCACAGCTCCTGCCTCCATTATCACCTGGTAAACAACCTCAAGAGTTTTTAGGTAATGAGTGTCAGAAGTCCACTCTCTCTTCACATTTCTTTATTAAACTGTTTAAAAACCAGGAAGGATATATGCTAAAATGGAGCTTAAACCCATGGTAGCTGTGTAGCTGTCATTCTTCTGAGTGCTTCAACTGTGGGTCTACTTAACAGAGATGGAAACAACCACTGGTTTTCAGGTATCTGTAGGAAAGTATGAACTTCATAACATTTTTTTCTTGATGAGCCTTCAGGCAGTCTAGATAAGAATTTTCTCATTGCATTTCAAATGGATTTATGGTACAAATAGTTGGTTTTATTATAATAAAAATATAAGTTCTTTTTTTTTCTCCCCATGTGTTATAATTACATTTTGCTTTAGTGTAGAGTCATTGGGACTGGGTGACAGATGTTGCTATCAGGAGAAACAAGAAATGGATTCTTTCAACCTCAAAGGTAATTGCTAATTGCTGATGTGATTTCAAGAACTGACTTATAAATGGATGTTAATATTTCATTCCTTGGTTTTGGCTTTTTTGGGATTATTTAACAATGGTCAAGTTGCTCATGAAAGGGCTAAGTTGTGATCAGTACTTTTCTCAAGCAGTTACAGAAGATCTTGAATTTGGTAGGTACATTTACTTTTGGTTATTTTAAAATGTGCAGGAAGTTTCAGATTGCTAAAGATAGTTTCTAAAGACATGATATTTAAATGTGAGAGAGTTTAGCTCTCATTTTGAGAGGGCTCATCTGATGAGATGCGATTTCTTCCTTATGGAAAGGATATAAATCTTTCTTTTGGTAGTATGCAAAACTATCAAAATAATTGCATCTTTTTCTCAGGATTCTACTTTGCAGTTGTGGAATGTTGAGGGGATGGATGATGTACCTTCAGTGACATAAATCAGAAAAGAAAGAGGCTCAAAAATTGCTTTGGTTCAATCACACTATTTTTTTAATTACACCTTGTATTTTATTCAGAAAGAAAATTTGAATGTTAAAAGGAAAGCTGTCAGATTTCTACGCTGGAAACACAGATTGATTATGTTTGTTCTCTCTGCAAAAATTGTCAAATCCTTTTTTGTGAGTGGGAGGTAGGCCTTTTTAAAAGTTGATTTTGGTAAGGACACCAATTTTCATATACAGGTGCATTTCTTATTTTAGAAAAACCAGCCACGTATATGTACTTTAAAAAATAAACATACTCTGGTTTTCTACTCATGTGCTTCTGCAGTGTAATTGGCTGCTTAGACAGGAACATTACTAGACCAAGGCAGGTAATACTCATGTGCTCCTGAACATAAACCAGGTAATAGGAATCGAAAGGAGTGTCTTTTTAAAGCTGAGACTGTATGTATTCTGACTTCTAAAACATAAATTAGGTAGAGGTGTTAGGAAAGGAGAACATTAACAAGTCTAATACTATTGAAACATGGTTTCAGTTCCTCGGTTTTGGTAGTGGATTTGCAAGAGCTTGTCACTAAGCATTAACTGAAAGTGCATGAAAAATAACTTTTTCTTACTTCTATATTATTTTTACCAGACTTTCTTGTTCAATAGCAGGTATTCAAAAGCAGGTAGCAGCTTTTTAAGCTTTTAAATAAGTTTTATAAATGTCCCAGCAGTAAAAATGTGTACATTCTTACAAGCATTAATTAACAGAAATGTGAGGATATGGTCAAAATTGATACAGGAATTTTTTTTTTGGTGCATTTTAGCAATACTTAAAGCATACAAAAAATTAAAGAATGTCTCAAACTTTTTGTAAATGGTTTCACAAGTAGGAAATTCACTCTGATAAAAGTGCCTTAAACCTCATGAATATGTATGTAGTCAGTGGAAAAACTTCTTTGTACTGACTGTAGTGGCTTAATAGTTCATCTAAGATTATTGTAATCTGACAATTTTTCCATTTATTATTTTTCTTTTTTTCATGTCTCCTTCAGTCAGAGAATGATCAGGTAAAAAAGTAAACAAAAAAAGCCCCAAACCATCTAGTGCTAATCGCCAAGATAGGACAGCTAAAAGCTGAATACCCATCAAGTCACCAAAAAAAGTAAAGTATAGTAGTTTATTAGCTGAAAGAAATAAAATCAGAGTTCACATAAAAATAGGGGTTTAGTCAGAAAAAACCTTCCAAACCATTCATCCCAGGAATAAATTTTGAGCAGCACTATCTGTGTCAAACCACACGGACTCACTGCATCTCAGAAGTCATATCTAGATATAGCTGTATGTGTGTATATTGAGCTGTACCTTCATGTATGAATTAATACATGTGTCATAGGAGATTAACTGAAATGCCATTTTTTTTAAATTGTATTTACAGCAATGTGAAGAGTGTGAAAGACCTTTTTTGTGCCTGCAACGTAGTAATTCTGAAATGATACCCAAGTGTGTCTTCTGTCGTCTGTCTTCTCCACTGAGAAAAATTTTGTCATTGCGACCTACTGTTTCTCCTGATCTGTAAACTAGGAGTCTTGGGATGTTAATGCATTTAAGTGTAAGTGGAGTGTCTGTACATCTTTATGTAACATATGTAGAAAGCTAAGACTTTCCTCTAACCTTGCTCTACTGTAGTAGTCTGTATGAAGAATAATAAAATGGATCTTACTAATCCACTAAAATGCTGGGATGTATCAGCTAATGACTGAAATCCATAGGAGTAGAAATCTTACTTATGGTGCTTGGTATTAGAGAATAAAATTACTTACATGTTCTTTAGTGAATTTTAAACAGTTTTAAATGAATATACCATTTGAAGGTCAGTCTTACTGAAGAAAATGTGTTTATGTAAATTATTGACGTGTTTCCTTATGTTCTTTAGATAAACCATTCTTCTTTACTATGGCAAGCAAAGAACTGATGGTGTCAGTGGACGTAAGGAAGAGTTCTGTGGGAAAAAAACATGAATAAAACCATGAACTTTTTCGTGACTTGTTAACATACCCTTTACAAAATATTTGTTAAGGAGCTTTTGGGCACTGAGAGTAAGTTCTGGTTCATGCTTGACATGATGCTGCACAAATGAATTCTGTAATAAAGGCTCCCTCCAACAAGGAATATAGTATTTTTCCTACCCTTTCTTAGGACTAACCCCAAAAGGATTACATCTATTCAGTATACATGAGAATGCCAAATAATAAAATATTAAGTATTTTAAAATGTTTGGGAGCCTTATTCCTAAAACCAGCCTTTTCAACCTTTCCTTTTAAAAGGAGCTTAAAGTGGGGAAAATAGTTGGAATGGGGCATGTGACAGTCTGGAATGCAGTTAAGCTACAGAAACAAAGAAATCCAAGTAGGTAGATCTTTTTTTCCCCTTGTTTAAATTATGTGAATTGTGTAACAAAAATTACACTCGAATCCAAGGTTAAACTAAAAATGTTTCAAGGGAATTGTCTGTCTTGTACAGATTTGTGGCTTTGAATATGTATTACATGATAAATTGTAAACTTTTCCGCATTCTTTCCCTGTTTACTCCTTGTTTTGTTACAGAGGTTCAAGGAAAATGCAGTGTCTGTGCTCCTATGTTTGTGTTTTTTTAAAGAGATCACATAGAACATGCATGTTTCATAGATGAATTAATTTGGCTTTAATGTAGTAATACTGAATTAGTGTGTTAGATTAGTCCTAAAATAATTGTTATATTAAAATTGGAAATGTTGTTTCTTTCTTTACCCTTTTCAGCTGGAAAAACCAACACTCTTATTTTTTTTCCACTGAAACAGTTTAAAAAACAGTTGCTTTACAGAGGCTTGGTTCATTTTGCATTAGTAATATGAATAGGTTGGAGATTTTCTTTTGAATGAATCCTTTTTATATTTCCCAAATTTAGAAAAACGAGGAAAAATGAATTCTTACTTTAAACTTTTAATAAAACCAGTTTAATTAGTTACTGCCGGTTCCTATCCATTACCATCGCCTGTTTAGTGCTTGGGTGCCATGCCAGTCAACTTGTCTTCAGCCCTGAACAGCTCGCCCCTGCAGGAGCAGGCCCCTTCTTTGCAGCACACGTTTTGCAAAGAACGGGATAATTACGGACAATTCACAAGCTGGAGCTTTATCTGCATTTTTCTGGCTTTTGTACCCCGGTAGTCTGACTAATGCCCTAGGTCGCTGCTCTTACCTGATGCTAAAACTGTAAGGCTGTTTCAGGGTAAGTCAGTGTGGTTGCCTTTCCGTAGGAGTTATTGTAAGAATAGCATCTGTAATTTCACAGAATCCCAGACTTCTTTGGGTTGCGAGGGACCTTAGAACTCATCCACTTCCAACCCCCTGCTACGGGCCGGGCTGCCCCAAACACCATCCAACCTGCCCTTGAACACGCTGACGTCGGAAGTACAGCCCCGCGCCGCGCAGGGGGGCCCGCAGGGCAGTGCAGGGGCCGTGCCTTCCCTGCTGTTCCCGGCGGAAGCTCCACCCCTGCTCACCTTTGGCAGGAGCTGGGCCCACCCCCGGGCTCTGCAGAACTGCGGAGGGTGTTCAGCAGTCCTGCTGTCGAGGCACCGGGAAGGGGCAGAAGCCGGGTCGTCATGTCGATGCAGTAGGGCCTTGTGGAGAGTGCGGCTGTTGCCCGGCGCCGTGGCTTAGTTGGTTAAAGCGCCTGTCTAGTAAACAGGAGATCCTGGGTTCGAATCCCAGCGGTGCCTGTGTGGAGAGGTTACTAGCATTTTATTCGTTGGGAGGGGCGCGGAACTGTAGCTACATGACCATTAGGAGTAAAAAAGACCATTGTACAGATGAAAAGTCGGGCACTGTTCTGCACCCCTCCACCCACGGCTCAGTGACGGTAAAAACAAACGAAAGTCTTTTCAAATTTATTTTCCTTCTAGTCTCCAGATTGTCAATAGCCTCTCAGTTAGGTCAGTGATTTTTTTTTTTTTTTAAACCCTGTTATAGTCTAACTGAACATACGATCATGAGGTGTCTGATGCTGAGGTGTTTGTCACCCGTCAGGACCAAGATATACCTGTCACCTCCTCTTACACATGTCACATAAAGCCTGGTTTTCCCAAGTAGAAGTGGTAATTGACACTGTGCTATCCTCCATGAGATTAGTGGCACAGCCGAGGACTGGAAGGCTTTCCTTGACATCTTGAAAATTCTGCCATGTTAGGCTTGTGAATTAGGTTCAGAGAAATTATTCCAAATTTGTGTTACTGTAAACAGCAGAAACCAGAGAATCCATCCTCAGATCTAAAACCAAAAGGCTTAGAATCCATTAATACAAGTCCCAGCCTTACCATCCAGATCCTAAGGTGTTTTCTGAGGCTCGCACAGCAGGGATAGGAGTAAATAGAAACATGGACATTTGGAGGGTCACATTTTCAAGACTCAGATCTGCAGCCAGATCGCAGTTGTCAGTAGCCCCAAATGCAATGTGTAAGTCTTAAGTCCAGGATGAACATCTTGGGTTATAACATTTACCTACAGAAATCTTTCTTTGAGTAGTATTTATTACAAAAATGCAATATTTGCATATTTGCATTTTTATTTTTAATGTGAGCTGAATAAGCTTTCTTCTCCTGCTCCTCACCCAAATGTTACACCATCATGTTGATAACCAGTGAAGCAGAGCAGTTGCACCCTGTAAATAATCATGTCACCAGCTGCTCTACAATACAGCCATTGTAGACCCCTTGCCCTTATGCTACTGGTTATTTTCAATTTTGTATTCGATAATACACATCAAGTGTGATCGCTTTAATTCCCAGCAAGCAAGAGCACGCCTGGTCAGACTGGCCTTGTGCGTTGAGGGACCTACTCTGCTCATCAGCTGCTCTTTGGCTCTGGACACGCTGCTCTTCACTTTGATCTCTTTTGCCATCTGCAAAATTACAATAATACTTACTGATCTTACAGGATTGCTGGGAGAGTTAATTAATGTTGCATGAAGCACTTTGAGCTTTTGGATAAAATCAATATGATTAAAGCCATGGTTTTATTTTTCTTCTCTGAAGCTCAGTCTTTCTGCAGTTAGGTCATGCTGATACCAACCCTCTTCGATAGCACTGGCAATGTTCACAGGTGCATTTGGATGGTTTCTGGGAAAAGGGGTCTGACTTCATCTCATTGATGGGGTAGAAAATCAACTTGCAGTTACAACATTGGAAGGGTTTAAATAAAGGTGTTAATTGGAAATGTAGTTATGTAGGACAGTTTTAGTCATCTTGTTGAAGGTGCTTATTAACTATTCAGATTACTGTATGCTTATCTGCAGAAATACATGTAATTCTTGGTTTTACAGGCTAGTGATTTTCCATCAAGATACTTTTCATATTTTAATCTCTAAAATAGTGCAGCATTTTATATGCAGGTGTGTGATTATTATATTGTTGTAATATTGATACTGCCTGAGAAGAGATAAGAGGTAGCTTATGATGAGTATTTAGAAAATACTTAAAAATTTTTCTAATTGTAAAAAATGCCATTTTTTTGATCCCAAGCCTAAACCAAATGGCTACAGTCTGTAAGAAAGAAGGGCACATCCCATATTACTTACAGAATGTTGCTATAATGACTGCCTCCGTCAAATGGAGCCAGTTAATACCTGACAAAGAGAGGGAATCCTTGCAATTTAAGTATGATAAATATTATCTTTTGTAAAAGCTATTATAGGAGTTCACATATGATCCTGGCCAATCCATATGACAGACACAAATCCCTAGAACTGGTAATTGTGCTCTGGTCCTTTTATTCACAAACTATACACTGCTCAACATTTTTAGAGCTGTAACAAATCTCTGAAGTCAAGGTGGAACCAAAGAATAATTGGCACTAGGAAGTATACTGTTTGGTTATTTAACCTGGGAGAGCAGATCCACCTGCCTTTGAAAATCTGGGGTAAAGTAAATGATGTAACTTTTTAAACAGTAGCTGTTTGGGTCCTCTCTGTGCATTTTACAAAGGTAATTTAACCGTGATTTTCCATCTAGAATAGAAAAGACCACATTTCTGGGCTTTTATGAAAGCCTTAAAAATTACCTTGGAATGAATAAATAAAATAACTTTTTGTGCATGTAAGTGGAAGAGAATTTTGTGGTCTGGAAGTTTCTCATGCTTTGTCCCACTGGTGTCAAGTTTACTGAGGTGGAAAAGAGAGAAAAAAGGAATTGGACTGCTTGTATATTCACAAATAAAGTATGTTTCCTTTTGTTTTCTAACAGTAGCTACAGCTCTGGAAAATGTGTTCTAATTGAATATTTACTTTTTAAATAGGAGACTAAGGTATTGAAATAACTGTGCTTTATAGAGCTCTGGACTGGGGCAGGTGACTTTTAAAGCCCAGGAACTACATTTTGAGAGGTGTCATCTCAGATTCTAGCTTTGTTCTCAACTGCTGTTGCTGCTGCAGGTTTTCTCTTTTGGTGTCTATCTGACATAGTTTGAACACTTAGTATTTGATTTGCATCTCTAAGGTGTACACCACTGGTGGAAAAGGATGATGTATTGGCATACTTTGACTTAACCACAGCATATACAGTACATCTGAGGAGCTGTAGGGTAATAAATTTAAGTTATCCTGGTAAATATATTTTTAATAAGACTTTACATTAGACAGTTGCCAAAAATTCCATAATTTGTTCCTGTTAGTGATTTGTATCTGGTTAGGAGCACAAACATAGCCCATTCTTGAAAATCAGCTTCTTAGGTTCTGTCAAGGTGCTATAGAAGGGTAACACGTAAAGTAATATCTAAACAGCTCAGCATTTATGTAACAATAATGTGAAATGGTGAAATTAAATTCCAGTTTTTGACATTTAAAAGAACTGTTAAAGTGGCAGGATTTGCTCTAGATGTTTAACTTCTGTGCTGTTGTGACTAATTTCTTAGGAGTTTCATAACCAGCTTATGCTGTGAAATTGTATCCAGAACTTAACTACAGTCAAAGTGACCCTCTGCTACTGACTCAATGAAGGTTAGCATGTTAAGTATCACTTAAGAAAATGACTGTACTCAAATTGAATCAGACCAAAGGTGCATCTAATCCAGTTTCCTCTATATAACTATGGCAAATGGCATGTCTAAGGCAGAATGTAAGTATAGGGCAGACATGCAGTGATATTTTGCTGGAATACCCTACCAGCTCATGGTCTTGAACTCTGATGTACAGACCCAATCAAATTTAATTTTTCATTTCTCCATGTCTGTGAGCAGGAAGAAGTGAAGTGACTCCTGCAGGCAGATGTGCATATTGGAGACATCTTTGTCATAGGAACAGTTGCCTAAAGAAGGAAAATATTAGAGGCAGTCAAATGTTTAGTGGCTGTTTATTGCAGCAGTGACTTTAGGCTTAGGGGAAGATACTTTCCAGTTTGCCTGTGGGCTGGCATTGCTGCCTGCAGCTTATTCACAAAGATTTGGGTGAAAGTGTTTGATGAAAATATGGAGTGAATCCACATTGCCTGTTAACCCCAGTTTGTAAGACTGCCGTTTCGTGTTTCCTGACACGCTGTTCTGTGATGTGTCCTTCTTCATCAGGCATGTCCAGTTACACAGTGTCATGCCCGTTTAATGTGATGTGATGT